CTGAAAAACACAACGAGGATCAGTGTAAAAACACAGAGAAACAAACAGACAAACTCACACACACCACAGAATCTAAACTCTGAAACCGACACTGGGACAGAATCCTGACGACGTATTTTCTGATAAACATTCAAACTGATCACGGAGACGCTGAGTCGACTGAACATCGTCCTGACCCTGAACACGTCTGCACAGTCCTGCTCCTGCTCACAAATCCTGCAAGATGAGGAGGTTCTCTGTCTGAAGCTCTGACACAGACAAGTGTAAAGTGTCAAATGTGAGAGATTAAACCACGTCCACAAGTTGAGTCTGTTTCAAATGTTTTTATTTCCTGTGTTGCTCGTCCAGGACTGAACATGAGCACCAGGTTTATTTACTCTTCACAACCCGGGAGAACAGCAAAGAAAACAAGAAATAAAACATCAAAATCAACTCTGCACCTGTCAATATCAAACTTAAATTAAACAAAAATAAAGCACACAAACCTCGTGGGCGAACAAAACAACAATACAACAAATAAACAAGTGTTTACATTGATATTCCAATAAAACTGTATCTGATTTATTCTCATTTTACTGGAGATATTCACATGTCCAGTAAAATGCACAGTTAATTATGTTCTATTATACTTTGTTCCACATTGTGATTGACACTAGATGGCGCAAAGTAAAATATATGGTCAGGTGAGTCAGGTGAGACAGGTGAGGTCAGGTGAGACAGGTGAGGTGAGACAGGTGTGGTCAGGTGAGGCAGGTGAGACAGGTGTGGTCAGGTGAGACAGGTGAGTCAGGTGAGTGAGCAGGTGAGGTGTGAGGTGTGAGGTGAGGCAGGTGAGACAGGTCCACAAACCCTCGTCTACATCGTGGAGTTCAGTTCAGTTCAGTTCAGTTTAGTTCAGTTTAGTTCAGTTCAGTTCAGTTCAGTTCAGTTCAGTTTAGTTCAGTTCAGTTCAGTTTAGTTCAGTTCAGTTCAGTTCAGTTCAGTTCAGTTCAGTTCAGTTCAGTTCAGTTCCAGGTTCCAGATCCTGATTTGTCATTTTACATTTTTATTTTTATTTTTTCTTTTCTTTTTGTGCGTAAACAAAATAATTGATTAAAACTCAGTGTTTTTATTCATGAACGTGTTTTTGTGTTTGTAAAGAAAAGAAACATCAACCCCCGTCTGGAATTTCAGTCGATCTCGTGTTGGTCACCGTCCCAAAAAAACAACATGTCACAAGTCTTTTCTCTTTCTTTTCTCTTTCTTTTCTCTTTCTTTTCTCTTTCTTTTCTTTCTTTTCTCTTTCTTTTCTCTTTCTTTTCTCTTTCTTTTCTCTTTCTTTTCTCTTTCTTTTCTTTCTTTTCTCTTTCTTTGTGTTTTTTTGTCAGTTTGTGACACTTGGACGAGTCTCTGAAACTACAAATGTGTTTTTAACATCGACACACAAACTCTAAACTCTAAACTCTAAACTCTAAACTCTCTCTCTGTCCATCTCTTCTTCTCTTTCCTCTCACTCCGTTCTCTCTCTCTCTTTCTCCACGCCTTTACTCCTTCTATCTTTTCTCTTCTTCCTCACAGTTGGAGCAGAGGAGAGATGAACGTTTTCCTCTCTCCTCCTCCTCCTCATCTCTCTCTTCTCCTTCCTTCCTCCCTCCATCCTTCCTCCCTCTCTCTCTATCCTTTCATCTCTCCCTCCTCTTCCTCCCTCCTCTCTCTCCTTTCATCTCTCCTCCTTTCTCCCTCCCTCCTCTTCTTCCCTCTCTTCTTCCCGGTGGTTGGAGCAGAGGAGAGGACGACATATTGGAAATGTCAGGTAAAAGACGCTTATGCAAATGAGACGCAGAAGAAACACACACACACACATGAACACACACACACACACACATGAACACACACACACACACAACACACACACACACATGAACACACACACACACACATGAACACACACACACACACACACACACACACACACACACACACTGAACACACACACACACACACACATGAACACACACACACACACACACACACACACACACACACACACACACACACACACACACACACACACACACACACACACACATGAACACACACACACACACACACACATGAACACACACACACACACACACACACACACACACACACATGAACACACACACACACACACACAATGAACACACACACACACACACACACACACACACATGAACACACACACACACACACACACACACACACACACACACATGAACACACACACACACATGAACACACACACACACACACACACACACATGAACACACACACACACACACACATGAACACACACACACACACACACACACACACACACACACTGAACACACACACACACACACACACACACACACACATGACACACACACACACACACACACACATGAACACACACACACACACACACACACATGAACACACACACACACACACACACACACACACACACACACACACACACACACACACACACACACACACACATGAACACACACACACACATGAACACACACACACACACACACACACACACACAGAACACACACACACACACATGAACACACACACACACACACACACACACATGAACACACACACACACACACACACATGAACACACACACACACACACACACACACACACACACATGAACACACACACACACACACATGAACACACACACACATGAACACACACACACACACACACACACACACACTCGGGGTTTTGTGTGGGAGTATTATCTCTGGGTTTTCACACACGTTTAAATCTCCACGTTTCTTTTTCTTGTTCTGAAAATGTTTAATTCGCCCAAAACAAAAGATTTGCAAAAGCCACAACAAACCAAAAAAAGCCACAATGGAAGTGACTGCGGGACTCTGTTTTAATGCAAACGCCACAACACATCAAAAAGCCACAACACAAACGCAAAAGCCACAACACATTAAAAAGCCACAACACAACAAAAAGCCACAACACATTAAAAAGCCACAACACAAACGCAAAAGCCACAACACATTAAAAAGCCACAACACAACAAAAGCCACAACACATTAAAAAGCACAACACAACGCAAAAGCCACAACACATTAAAAGCCACAACACACGCACACAACACATTAACACAAGCAAAAGCACAACACATTAAAAGCCACAACACACAAAAAGCCACACACACATTAAAAAGCACCACACATCACAAAAAAAATAGCCACAACACATCAAAAAGCACAACATTTAAAAAGCCACAACACAAACGCAAAGCCAAACACATCAAAAAAGCCACAACACAAACGCAAAAGCCACAACACATTAAAAAGCCACAACACAAACACAAAAGCCACAACACATTAAAAAGCCACCACACATCAAAAAGCCAACACACATCAAAAAGCCACAACACATAAAAAAGCCGCAACACATTAAAAAGCCACAACACATTAAAAAACCACAACACATTAAAAAGCCACAACACATCAAAAAGCCACAACACATAAAAAAGCCGCAACACATTAAAAAGCCACAACACATTAAAAAACCACAACACATTAAAAAGCCACAACACATCAAAAAGCCGCAACACATTAAAAAGCCACAACACATTAAAAAGCCAACACATGGTCCACAGTCGTGTTCTTCCTTTGTTAAAGATCAGTGGAGTCTGGTCAGTAGAGGGCGCTAGAGCCGCACTCTCTAACATGACCTAGAATTTTAAAAAAAGTGTGCAGGTCGACCTGAAGTCACCTGACTGTTTTTCATAACTGTTTATCTCACACACCTGACCTATTGTGATTGAGCTGCTCTGTCCCGCCAAGTGAGTTTTACAACCAACTGGACTCACGGACCTGACTGGACCTGACTGGACTTGACTGGACTTGACTGGACCTGACTGGACCTGACTGGACTTGACTGGACCTGACTGGACCTGACTGGACTTGACTGGACCTGACTGACTGACTGACTGACTGGACTGACTGGACTGCTGGACCTGACTGACTGACTGGACTGACTGACTGATTGGACTGACTGGACCTGACTGGACTTGACTGGACCTGACTGGACCTGACTGGACTTGACTGGACTTGACTGGACCTGACTGGACCGGGACTTGGAGCAGTTTGATCTCTTCATGTTGGACAGTAAATCAGACAGAAGCAACAGAACAGTGAAGAATCCCCCAAACATCATGACCCCACGAGCCTCCACGGCCTAGAAAAATGCTCCGCAGTGTGAGTACATTTAAACTCGTCTGTCTCCATGGAAACGAGCAGGTGACGGCCCCAGAGCGGCTCCAGGTCAGGTCTGTGGAGAGGCGTCTCCGCTCACAGAAACCAGGATGTTCAGAGGAGTTTGAGTTATAAAAATCATTGTATTAAACTGTACGAAACTGAACCGAATCAAATGACACGTTTAATGCTGCACTGTGAGACATTCCTCTTTCACACTACAACATCTCCATGGAGACAAACAGCTGCTGCATCCTCCACCAGAAAAGTTACACACTGCTCCTTTAATCTGAACGAACTGTGGTTTGTTTACATCACGAACACATCGATTATTATCGACAAAACAGCAGAACAAATCGATAGGAGATCGATATCGGTGGAAAATATCGATATATCCTTTTATTCACACCCTCCTCTCCTCCTCCTCTTCCTCTTCCTCTTCCTCCGCTCTGTTCTGTCCATCCTGCTCCTGAAGAACGACAGAACAGTGAGAAGAAGAGAAAGTGGAGCTGAGGTCGAGAACCTTCAAACATGATCCAAGAAAAGAACGACAGAAAACTGCAGACGGAGAGAGAGAAGAGAAGAGAAGAGAAGAGAGGGGGATGGAGATGAAGGAAAGGAGAGGGAGAGAAAGAAGAGAGGGAAAGAGAGAAAGAGACAAAAGGGGAAGCAAGAGAGAGGGAGAGAGAGAAAGAAAAGAGGACAGAGAGGGAGGGAGGAACGAGGGAGAGAAGAGAAGAGGAGGAGA